GAAAGCGTACATGAAGTTATCGGAAAAAAGTGATGGGGTGATATGGGAGGAGTCAGAAGGGAGGGAGTGGGCATGGATTTGATCAAAACACCTTATATACATGTATGAAATTCTCAATAAATTATTTTTGAACAAAATCTCTGAACAGATTTCTGCCCATACTGAAACCTAAAGTACTGTGGGCTGAGCCCAGACTCAGAACAATTGTCTACTTACAGTAGAAAGGGGGAACAGGAAGCAGTTTTTGAGGAAATGGGGAACACAAAGGAGGACACCATTGAAGCAGACAAAATACACAGTCCTAAGAGACTTCATAATGGAAGGTACTATTTAGAGGTGTTGGGAGCTAGTTAGGTCCACTGAGAGAGCCAGGACTCAGAGTCCAGACGCTTCCTCCTCAGGTCACAGAGCGAGAGGGCAGGAGACAAAGAGCCAGACCTCCAGTTTTCCACTGACCTACAGTGCCCCTCACCACAGGACAATGCTGGCCTGGAAATAAATATGCCACTATCAACGTCACAAATTAGTTCCAGGGAACTGAGAAGAAACCAAATCCCTATAGCTGTTCTCCCTCCCACAGTTCCCACAGTAACTGCCTGGGAAGAACTGAGCAAGGTGTCTGCTGGCTCAAAGAGCTGAGGGAAGAGACAGCTAGCTTCTCCCACAAAATGTTGAGAAAATGAGAATGGTGACCAAACATTAAAACTAGGCTTAGCTAGGCGATGGGCATCTTAATTTCAGGACGTAGGAGGCTGAGGCTGGAAGATCAAGAGTTCAAGGCCAGCCTGAGTTACAAAGACCATTTCAAAAAACCAAAATGTAAAAATAAAGTATCTTCAGATTTTCAATGACTTTCAAGCAATAAGGAACATCAAATTTCAAATACTTTACCTGGTTCCAATTTTATTACTTTAATCGCTGCTAATTCACCAGTGTTAACATTCCGTGCCTAAAAGAAGAAGAAATAAATATTGTGAGAAAGGTGGTTAAAAAAAGGCATTTTAGTTTATTGCTTATTTTCAATGATACAAAAATATTTTTAAAAGTAGGAGATGTTACTTTTTTAAGTAGGAAATGATTTACATTTACAAAACAAATAGTACTATATCCTTCATAATGCATTTCAGTACTAATTCATGTATAAACTTAATACTAGCACTGTCCCAGCATTTCAGAGTTGGAGGCAAAGAACCCTAAGTTCGAGGTCATCCTCAGTTATTACACAAAAAGTTTAAGGAGCTGGCCTACATGACTCCCTGCCTCTCAAAAACACAAACCTCCCACAAAACAAGAAGTCAGCAAAGGATCTCAGAAGGTGGGTAAGAAGCACAGTCATCACTAGAAATGCAACACTTAATCTGTTTTTGTTGTTGTTTGTTTTGTTTTGTTTTTTTTGCGACAGGGTCTCCCTGTAGCCCCAGCTAGCCTGGAACTCACTTTGTAGACCAGGCTGGCCTTGAATTCACAGAGATCTGTCAGCCTCTGCTTCCTGAGTGCTGGGATTAAAGGTGTAACCACATCTTTTAAGCTTCTTCTACAAATAAGAGAAGATGCTGCTTTTCAATTCTTAGAATCTTAAAATCAGACCTTGCAAAATATTTTGTTTATTGAAAGAAATTCAGAGTGTGGGCGGTTCTATGATGCAACAGCAGAGAAAAGTGAACTTAAAAGCTAGGTTGATTGTCTATTGCTGAAATTTTGCTCTCAGTGACCACAGGAGGGCACACTCTTTACTGACAATACAAGCTACACAATTTGTGTTCAAAATGGTTGCTGCACACAAGGTCCTCAGCTAAAAACAGACTAAGAGTTATCGCTAGCATATATTCAACAGAAAAACTATGACAGCAAACTATTAGTGGTCAGTTTACCAAAGTCACTATTTATTACGTTTGACTTAATACATTTAAAAAGGTGCATCAGTCAAGAACTTTTTAAATGATAACAGTTCCAAATACGGGTGTCTTTAGAGTAAATAATTCAAAATTATGGTTCATTAGAGGGAATAAAAACCCAGACAGCTAAATTGATTACTTTTTTTTCCTTTGTGATTTCTAAAAAAATATTTTCCAATGTGTAACTTATTTGGCAGTTTTGAGATAGTTCACCAAAAGGGGGGCGGGATTAAAAACGAGATGGAAAATTTGGGAGACTTCAATTTCTGAGCCTTTCCTCATTAAAAATGTTACTAATGAAGAACACTTAAAAATTATGGAGCATGAAGCATGGTGGCAGTGCAGGCCTGAAGTTCCAGCACTTTGGAGGTTAAGGCAGGAGGACAGTTCAAAGTCAGTCTGTTCTATATAGCAAGACCCTATCTCAAAAAAAAAAAAAAAAAAACCTATCCAAAAAAAAAAAAAAAAAAAAAAGAAAGAAAAGAAAATCATCTATGATCCAAGAATGCAGTCTGTATTCTAATATTTACTACTATTCTTTTTCAGCTCAAGCAATTTATTTTTTAAATAAAAGCTAGGTTGAAACTGTAAAATATTAACATGTATAAAATTAAAAAAAATTTCGACAGGGTCTTCCTACTGCCAGCCTGCCTGGAAGTCACTATGTGGACCAGGCTGGCCTCAATCTCATAGAGAGCTGCCTGCCACTGCTTCAATACCTGGCATAAATTAAAATTTTTTTAAAATTCATATTAATAACATAAAATGACCACACTTCCTAAGGGCAGAAAAGCAGCTCTGAACATCTAGACCTTATCTGCAGCATGTCACTGATCTGATTGAGCCCCTTCACACACTTCCAAAGTGAGGTTATAACCACGGTGTTCTTGAGTTTAAAATCCTTCAGGAATACATGCCATTGCTTTAAAGACAAAAATTCTTGCCAAGAATATTTCTATTTCCAGTAAATACAGCACTTTTCCTTATAGCTTTACAGATAGAATCCACCTACCATAAAATTCACCCTTTTAGAATATGTAGAGTTCAGTGATGTTTAGTTTACATATTCAGAGTTATGAGACCATAACTATCACTGAATTTTAGAATACTTTCATCACTCAGAAAACAAAAACAAAAACAAAACCTAGCCCCACCCCCCCATAGCTGTGACTGCTCTTCCTCCTCTCAGTCTCTGCCAGCTACTATTCTGGACATTTCATAGGATTGAGTAGTATGTGGTCCCTTGTGACTGATTTCTTCCACTTAGCATGTCTCAAGATCCATTCATGTATTCCTGCCAAATATTCCATTGTATGGAAATATATCTTGTTTGCCCACTCATCAGTTGAAGGATCTGTGGTCTGAAGGTTAACCTTCACTGTCAACCTGACTAGATTTAGAATCGCCTGGGAGACAGTACTTCTGGGCATGATTGTTAGGGTGTCTCAGAGAGGATTCAATGAGGAAGACCTACTCTGAATGTGGGTGGCATTATTTCTCAAGCTGGGAGTCCCGACAGAATGAAAGCTTTTGGGAACAGAGAAAGCCAGAGAAGTCCTAGCACTCTCTATTTCCTGTTCCTCTGAGATGTGACAGAAGGAGTCCCAGCCACAAGTTCCTGCCACCATGGAGTTCCCTGCCATGGTATCCCTAAAAACCATGAGTCAAAATAAATCCGTCCTCCCTTATGTTGCTTCTTGTCAGAGTGAAAAGGAAAAGTAACTAAAAGTTAATGGCTGTTTCTATTTTGGGCTATTATAAATATCAGTTAAAGCCGTAATGATATGCTTCTTCTAAAAAAAATTAAAACTAATATTAAAAAATACAGGAAACTGCATATCTTGAAATGGAGATCTTCTTTAAAGGATAAAAACGCATTCAATTTTATGTCTTACAGGTTTATACTGAGTTCAATATTGTATAACTGTATTAATTCAACTGTGAACCTAAAAATTTATAGCCACTTTTGCAAGAGAGGTATCTTTGCTCTGGAGTGTGTTACTGAGTATCTTAAAGCTGTAATGAAATGCTTCTTCTAATCATGTGGTTATTAAATTTTTTAAAAATTAAAGAAAAATAATTCTTCAAAGCATAAAAATTTGCTCCTTAATAATTAGTAGATGTGAAAAACATTACCTTTGAAATCTACCCGATGCTTTATTTCCATGCTCAGATGCCAAGGAGCTCAGAAAGTAACTGACTGTGACTAGTAATAATCAGATATATAGAGATTAGAAATGCATGTGCAAACATCTTAATGTCAATTGCATTAAAAATGAATTTATGATTATTGTGGGGTGAAGAAGAGCAGATCTTCTTTAAGGGAGTGACTCAAGATAGGCTGACTAGACTCCAGTGGATGAACTTGCACTGAGGGACATCTGGGTATAAATGTTTGACCGAATAGGACTTTAACCTATGTGACAGAATACCTGAAATCTGGTGGGAGGATATGGGAGGTGGAGACAAGAGAGAGGATGATCTAAATTTAATCAAGATGAATTATATGAAATGCACAAAACTCAATAAAAAAATGTTAGTTAAAAAATTATCCTAAAAAAAGAAATAAAAATTCTAGTCACATTAAAAAATATATATATATCACTACTATATATACTACAATACAAATTTTTGTGTGAACCTCTGTTTGCAATTCTGTTGAATACATACCTAAAATGTACTAAGAAATGCTAGGTCATATGATATTCCATGTCTACCTTTCTGAAGAACTACCAGACTGCTTTTCCAAAGTAGCCAAACCATTTAACATTATCGCCACCAATGTATATAATGTTCCAATTTCTCCACATCATTAACAATATTTGTTATTTTTTGTATTTTTTTACTCTATTTTAGCTATATTAGTGGTTATGAAGTGGTATGCCACTGGGATCTGATTTACATTTACTGGTCATCGGAATAGCTTTTTTGGGAAGAATGCTGATTTGCTCATTTATTGTGTGGGGATGGACACCAGGGATGTGTACATGTTAGGCTCCTCTACCGAGTTATATCCCAGCCCTTATCTGGACACAGAGTCATGTAACATCTGAGGATATATCACCACACCTGGCACACTCACTTTTAATTGTATCATGTGTTTATTGTTGAGTTATAAGAATTCTTTATTGGGATACAAGTAAGTTATATGCAATGCAAGTCTTTTCTTACATTATGAATTGTTTTCATCTCCCTCTCTCATCCCTCCAATATACGCAAGCTCTCTACCACTGAGCTACACCTTAGTCCCTGTCTATCCGAAGGGATGCTTTGAAACACAAATGTTTTCATTTTAATGAAGTCTGGCCTAGCTTACCTTTTGTTTTTGTCACTTTCGTTATTTTACAATAAGAATAAGAAGCCCAGAGTCACAGATTTCTTTTCTAGGCTTTCTTCTAACATCTTACAGTTTTCACACTTACACTAAGGTCAATGACACCACTGAAAAAGTAACTTTTAGTAACTTTTTTATGATGTTACATGGTGGAGCGTTTCCAATTTCATTCCTGTGCATGTGGATATGAAGTTGTGCACACAGTATTTTTTAACCTCAATAAAATCCTTTATTATCGGCCCCTACCTATCTTTCTAGTCACTCCCAAATTTTTACTTTATGCTCTAGCCAAACTAAACAACTTCTGATTCCCTAGTAGTATGCACACTTTTACCCCAAACTCTCCCTTGGCCTAGCTCCCAGACCTCATTCAAAGCTAGGCTTAGGTTATCCTGACCCTGTTCCCTCCCTCCACCCTCCACATTTTAGAAAGTAACCTTTCTAAAATGGGGGAGGGTATGATGAGAATCCTGTAGATTTAAACTAATCTCAGTTTACAGGAGCTCTTGAAAATTCTCAATTTCAAATCTTTTTGAGAATTTGGTTTGTTCTGGTGAGCCCTTGGAGGTTTTCAGATTAGAAATAATTTGGGAAATAACTTTTTCTGGGATGATTGACATTGACTGCTGAGTAATGTACAACTGTGAGAAAAGCACTTTGAATGTGGGCCTTGCAGCAAACAGCATAGCCAGGAAGCAATCACCATGGGCCAAAAAGTAT